CGTCTTTATTAGGTGATTGGCCCTTATGAATATAATGCTTCCACCTTCCTGTAGATGTAGGAAGGTTTCCCTCTGTTGTTACACTTCTAAAGTATGTTTCCCTCTTACTTAATAAAAGAAATTGAGATGGGCGTTGGTGGCGCATGCCTTTAATCCCAGCACTTGGGAGGCAGAGGCAGGCGGATCTTTGTGAGTTTGAGGCCAGCCTGGTCTACATAGTGAGTTCCAGGCCAGCTGGGGGCTACAAGGAGACCCTGCCTCAAAAAGACAAAAAAAAAAAATCATCAAAATAAATAAAAGACTATACAGATGGCCACACAATTTTGTGACTATGTGAAAAGACATTTGAGCCCAGAGTTTCCAATGGGTGAACTGTATGTGACATGAATTATATTGCAGTATAGCTGTTTCAAAAAACTTACACAAAGATAAATGCTGTATTCCATCCTTCCATACGCCTTTCTTAGTGTCTACCACAAACCTGGGCATTAATATAAACACTAACCCATGTCTGTTTCTCTTTTATCAACTACCACAGTGTCTACTGTAGTTTTGCATATGTCCTAGATGACTAAGGAAATATTTAAGTATTTGGCTTTTACTTAATAAGCATTTTAAAATAATCTAAAATAAACTTGTTTGTACTTGGTTACAAGATCCACAGATGCAAACTGATGATGAACAGCATCACAAAATATCCTCCTGTATTGCTTTAAGCGTCAGGGTTTGACTGTAGATATGACTCTAGGCTATAACACTTTTTTTCAGTGAACACTTTTAAAAATAATTTTATTTCATTATTTTTATTTTATGTGTATGATGTATTGCCTGTATGTGTGTAAGTGAACCCATGTCATGCAATGCACATGGAATTCAGAAGAGGGAGTTGGATTCCCTGGAACTGGGTCACAGACGGTTGTTAGCTGCCATGTGGATGCTGGGAATTGAACCCAGGTCCTCTGTAAGAGCAGTCAGTGCTCTTAAACACTGAGCCATCTCTCCAGCCCCTTCAGTGAACAATCAATAAGCTACCTACTAGTTATAAAATACTTTTTAACAGAAAAATATTTAAGAATACTGACATTACAGATAGAAAATTAACACACTTTCAGATTTAATAATTAAAAATTTGTAAAATGTTGTGTTTCAAATGTTTAAGCTGATAGTGAAATCAAATATGTCAACACAATGTACAAAAATATAAATTCAAATCAAAAGGTTTCTACAGTCACTTAAAACAACAAGGCTTCGACATCATATATTTTCATTGAAGGAGATATGATACTTTGGTAAACCCCACTTGAAGCAAAGCTAGAAGCAACCTTTCTTGGGAAGCAGGGAGCCAGTGAAGAGCTGGGAGAAAAGGAAGGGCAAGCAGAGCGTGGAGCCTGCTGCACTCAGTCCTGTACTCCACACTACATCATCACATTTTACCTACTGTGTTCTCCAGTTGTGACTCACCAAGTCTATAGGCTCTAACACCGGCTGGCTTGATTGAACTACAGATTCCTCATTTTCTTCTTTATTCTTTTGGCAAGGCATTTGCTTAGAAGGAAGTAAATTATACCATAGCATGAACATCTCATTGGAAAATGGTAAATCTGCCAGGCTGATCTGAGTCCCAGCCTATAGGAAATGAAAGAAACAAAGAAAATAAAAAAATAAATAAAAATAAATAAGCATGATAGAAAAATAAAACATTTACATAAGTATTGTTCTCTCTGATACGATAAAGATGATTGGGTGAGCGGGTCTTAAAGTAGAACCAATAAACTATAAGTGATATAAAGCACTGATGAGAGAGTGTGTATGTGTATGTGGTATTGTATGCATGTATAGAGGCCAGAGGTTGACTCTGAGATATGTATGTGTGCATGTATGTATGTATGTATGTATGTATGTATGTATGTATGTATATATTATTGGCAGGGTCTTTCATCAAACCTAGAGCTCAACCATTGGTTAGACAAGCTGGTCATTGAGGCCTAGGATCTGTCTGTCTCTAACTCCCAGAGCTGAGCTTAGGGCACATACCACTGAGTCTGGCTCTTACGCAAGGGCTGGGGATCAGAACTCAGGTTCGCATACTTACGTAGTAGGCATTTTACCCATGGAACCATCTCCCCAGCTTAGGATTTGTGAGTGTTTTAAAGTCTGAACATGCTTCATATCTTCAGCAGTAACTCAGTAAGAAACAATGCCCATTTGAACAGTCAATCCTCGGTTATTTTGTAACATTTAGTTTTCGTAACACCTAAATGTCTAAGCATGTAATTTTTAGAAAAGTGGAATTATGCTTAAATTAGAATTTTAAAAAATAAACAAATAAATGACTAAGTTGAAAGCATAATACTTCTTTTAACATGCCATAAGAGTGACTTGATTATTAGAAAACCTCATCATCATCCAGCAAAAAGTTTAAGACAAAGATTCTGCCTTTGCCCTTGAGTGAAAAATCAGCAGAAGTTTTCTTTATTAGGCAATAAAGCTGGGGTTGGACCATCAATTGATACTCTCTCTTAGCAGCTTGCATACTAGCCTCTAAAACTACGAAAACTAGCCTTCAGGGAGGTGGCTTCCAGGTCAGTTCCAGCTCCTTTGCTCCAAGTCCTGTGTCTGAAGTATGTCCTGTCTTCAGCAATATGGTCTTACCTTCAAGTTCTGGGAGGCTATCAAGGACTATGGCAATAGCCTGTATAATTTTAGGAGTCTCTTGGACTATCCTGGCTAACAACTCTAAGGGAAATTTCTCCTGTTTGGCACTGTTTCTTGTTATATAGCCTACCTGGACTCATGTAGAGATATTGTATATGTAATTTTTCAGTAGGCTTTGAACTAATACATTTCCCTTTTTTTTTTCATACCAGTCAAGCATTATTTATCTCCCTTCTCTTTCTCCCTAACTTTTCCTCCTCTATTCCCAGTTAAATTCCCCCCTTTTCCCCATTTCACCCTTAATAATACCTGTCACCTGTGGTCTCCCCCTGCTTGATTTCCTTCTTTCCCACAATGACCAACCAGTACTGGAAATAATACTGGTGCAGTGGTGGCACTTCTATCTTGGGAGGTAATCAACAGCTATCTAATTGGACCCAAAGCCCACTCAATGGGTGGGAACTCATGTGTAGTACTGTAAATATAGCCAAATACATGTGGCCGGAAAGGTCATAGATCTGAGAGAAAACCCTAAGGCTATCACATCCCAGTCAAATGTAATTTCTTACTATATGCTAAATATGGGTCTTTATATTTACAGACAAGTATGCCAGTCACCACTCATCAAATAAGCTTCTTTTGCAACAGAGACTATTACAAAGTTCCACAACTGGTCACACACAGATAATAAGTGACTATGAGATGCCAACCCTAAGTGACACATCTACAATGGCACCTCTACACCTAAGGCTCATAGAACATAGTAGAACAAGGGGTAGAGAGAATACTAATGCATCTCTCAACTCTCATTAATGAAGCTCTCTTATGCAATAGAGGACAATGAACACAAAAGGCCACAAATGGCCAAAGTGTAGAGAATAAGAGTCTGCAGAGTGTGGGTCCTTGGACAGGACTCCTATAATAAATTTCACCCACCCAGGACTCAGGGACCATTGAGGAAGAGGGGGCAAAAAGATTGTAAGAGCCAGGGGAGGAGGTGCATTACCATATGGAAAGAATCTTACAGGCTCCTGGGACTTTGCTCATATGAACCCACAGAAATGGTGTCAGAATGCACAAGACTCATGCTAACTCAAGCACATAAAAACCCAGCATAGAACTGTGGAAATGTGCAGCAGGCCCCAACCTTAGCCAAAGAACTATTGGTAGCTGATTACTGCTGGGGGAAGGAGAGTTGATTTTCTTTAAGGTAATGACTCTAAATAGGCTGACTAGACTCCAGTGGATGAACTTACATTGAGGAACATCTGGGTACACTAACTTGGTTCAATAAACCTTAACATAATGACAGAATACATGAAATCCAGTGGGGGAGGGGGGTTATGGGAGGGTGTAGATGGGGGAGGGAGAATAAAGATGATTGAGATGTTTTGTATGAAATACACAAATATTCATACAAATTATATAGAAAAAGGTTTTCTTTAGATGTGTGAGGTCACTAGAATTCCAAAAAAGGTAATGTTGAGATGGTTTCACATTCCACCTATCCACAGTCTAATTTCAACTCCATTGTTTCCAAGAAGTTACTAATTAATATATTGATCTTATTGGAAGCTCTGACACATCTTAAACATGGCATCTATCACACAAAGCCTGTCTGATGGCCAAAAAATCTACCTTGGCTTCTTTCTAATTTTATTTGACATAATATCACTTTTTTTCAAATTAAAAAAAAAAAGAAAGAAAACTATTGCCCTTTTTTTTTTTTTTTTTTTTTTTTTGGTTCATCAAGAGACATGTTTGCCTCCTGCTGGATCACAGAGTAAAAGCTGCTTTTGACCAAGTGAGTCCCTCTCTGGGTGCATGTGAGCATCCATAGAACTTTACTGGTCAGTGACCCCTCTATTAGTTACTGCCATGGCAGTGTGTTAAGCTCACTGCTGGCTAAGCACAAAGTCTTTTGCTGTCACATTCAATCACATTGCTCCAAACAGTAACACTTCCTCCTGGAAACTTTAACATCATGGAAGGGGAAAATGGGCCAAATGAAGGAACCATACACTTAATGCCTTGCTTAATTTTAAAGTGAATCAATGAACTACGGGATGGGTTGGTTTTTGATGTCCAGTTCACTATGAGTATAGCCTTCTTTGGGAAGCTCTTTATCTGAAAATAGGAGGTAATCACACTTTTCATAATCAATTTTCTATGGTATTATCCTGAGATTAAAGGAAATTAATATGCAGATCACAGGGTTTGGCTTCAGGACCAGTAAGCATGCACCACACAATGGTTATGACAGAAGCTGAAGTTCATCCATACTCAGGAACAGAAACGGAAGGTCAAGCCATAGAGCATCACAATTACAAGCAGACTTAAAAAAAATATGGAATATGAGAAAAAATAGAGAATAAATAAATGTAAAAAAAAATTAAGGAGTAAAAAGGGGCTGGAGAGATGGCTCAGGGTTTAGGAGCACTGACTGCTCTTGCAGAGGACACAAGTTCAGTTCCCAGCACCCACATGGCAGCTAAATAATGTCCCCCAGTTCCAGGGGATCCGACATCATCTTCTGGCCTCCACAGGCATCTCATGACATGGGTGCGCTTACATACATGCAGGCAATTCACTCATACACATAAAATAAAATAAAAAAAAGAAAGAAAGAAATAACTCGTGTCCCACAGTGCTGGAAGGTACGCCATGGCTTTGGGGCTGGTAAAACAGCAAGTAGAAAACGTCCTTAGAATAGCATTTGTGTTATTTGATGATGGTAATTATGAAGGCTCCTACCAAGCATTCTTCCCTGCGGTGTTTGCTGACAGAGCAAAGATCAACTCTCAGTGTCTTCTGCTGCAAGGCTGCCTGGGAAATGGCCACTCTGAACACATCATTGAACAACACAGATTCAGTGGGTGGGTGGACTTTTGTTCGAAATAGACAACTGACATCTGCTGAGGAGGGAAGGACAGCAACCCTAAAATACCTGTAAAGAACAAGAGCAAAATAAACTTCATAGGTACTTGAATTATAGTGGATTCATCACCATTATTTGCAATTATCGGCAAAGAGAGAAAACAAGAGATCATGGAGTTCATTATCAAATGAAAGCGCTGCTGCCATAATGGATCTGTGCTCCGCTGCCGAGCTGCTGTGTTCTTAACCCACTTGTGCCAACTGGGCTCCATCCTGCCACTCAGCAAGGGTTTGAAGCGAAGGCACAAGATAGGAAAGTGAAGAGGAAGAAAGTCTGCAGGGCAGGTGGTTACCGACCCACCTCCCTTTGCAGAGCCAATTCCAAAATAAGTCATTTCTGAGTCTAGGGAGGTGAGAACACACTAAGTGCACACTGGTGACTTTATCCCAAAGAATTCTCACTCAGAATGTTAAAACAAGAGATCAGTGATGACCAGTGCCAGAAATGGAATACATGATCCTACTAGAGGAAAAGAAAGGCTAAGAAGTCAAACAATAAGCCCAAAAAACAAAAACAAAAACCAACCACGAAATCTCCACAAAGTTTTGAGTTGGGGGCAAAGGACATTTAAGAATATTTTATACTAGGTAATTTTTAAAATTTTATTTATTAGTCTTATTTTATGTATATGAGCATATTGCCTACACGTGTGTAAGTGCACCCATGTCGTGCAATGCTCTCAGAGGTCAGAAAAAGGAGTTGGATCCCCAGAATTGGAGTTACAGACAGTTGTTAGTGCCATTTGAGTGCTGGAAATCAAACCTGAGTCCTCTGCAAAAGCAGTTAGTGCTCTTAACCTCTGAGCCATCTCTCTAGCCCCCTAGGTGACTTTTTTTAGTAGTGTCAACACAGGGCTATCATATGAGGTTCTGTACTTGTTTTGAGACAGGGTCTCGCTTGTAGTCCCAGTTGGCCTGGAACTCATTATGTAGACCAGGCTGGCCTTGATCTCACAAAGATCCACCTTCCTCTGTCTCCTGAGTTCTGGGATTAAAGTTGTGTGCCACCATGTCCAACCTATATATGAATTTAAGAAAATATTATACATACATATATAAATATAAAGAAAAATGTATATGTCTCAGGAAAGTTCAGACCAATTAGACAAGTGATTACATGCAGCTGGGGAGCAGACGCATGCACTGTATCAGCAGGTGGCTGAAACTGCTGCTGCTCCCGAGTTACCTGGGGGGTCACCACACCTCCAGAAGGCATTCGGTGACTCCTGTGAAGTGAGGAGGACTATGGTTGTTAGTGCAGTTGAGGTAGAGCACTTGAGCATGTGTAGCCTTAAAATTCGTGTCAAGTAAGAACACGTTTGTAGGGCATCTTGTAGTTTTCTCCTGGACTTAGGAGGTATTTTCCCTGTTCAGAGCCAGTCCCTGGTAGTCCCATCACTCTGACCTACCTTACTAAAAAGCTACCATACTCCACTATCACATGTGTTAGAGAAGTCACAAACAGTATCATCAATGAGCCAGTCTTCCCCAAATACAGCTTTCTATGCTGATCTAGCCAGGGCCACCTTATGCCCATTCTCTCTGCTAGTCTTATTAATGAGGAGGGGCCCCATGCTCCCATTTTAGGACGTCTTCTGAGCCCGGTCTCCTCCGAGGTCCTAGTCCCAGCTGGCTTTAATGATCATCAGTGGCTTATAGCAATCTCCATTCTTCTGGTATCTACTAAATGATCTCCATTTAGCTCTTTTTTTCTTAGATCCAGTTTCTCTTGGCAATTCCTGATTATGAGGATGTGAACTTAATAGTAAACCTGTAAGGAAACATCCAGGACTCTTATATTTACACAGTCCTGCCCTCTGAGTAAGAAACTCCATCATCATCAAGAAACAGTCACTGGGCTCCGTATAGTCATGGGGATCACTCAATATTCTTATATCCCCAAGCCTTGTACTGCCATGTTCAAAACAGAAAGTTTAAAGGCTGAGTAGACATGGAGATTTGGTATTCTAAGTCACAGCTGCTAGGCTGAAATCTGGATTCTTTCTGGTATTATACTTCCTAGCCATGTTCCCTTTGTAGAGAACATGGGAACAGGGAAACTTTGGCTTTCAAAAGTGACTGATGGGTAAAGAACTCTAGACTCACCTGTTAAAATACAGTCCTGAAACAATGGACTATGGAGAATTACGTCAACACTTTGTTGGGATTTTTGGTTTTATGCAGTGATATAACTGCAATTGAGAAGTTGTTGGCCACAGGGAAGTAAATATTGGATGATAAAAACATCCTCTTTCATGTAGCATGATAAAATGTTTGACTGGCAATGTTATACTAATGAAATTTAATCACTACATATTCATGTCAAAGATCAGAAAATTTCTCAAAACCAGTAGTAGTGAGTACTATGCAATAAAAATTATAAGCATATTTCCAGTAATCAAGTCCCAACACAACATAGAATAATAGAATCTTTGGTCAGAAAGGAAATAAAAAGTTTTAATTCCTACCCTTGACAAAAATCAGCTGAATAAACACCCAAATTTAATGTGCCTTTCTCCCACTTTCCTCTTTTCTTCATCTTTATCTACCCAGCTATTTCTCTCCCATTTCTTCATTTTTTAAAAAAGAGATTAATTTTATTTTTAATTATGTGCATATGTGTGTGTGTCTATGTATCTGAGTGTGGATTCCCAGAGAAGCCAGAAGAGAAGTCAGATCCCCTGGAGCTAGAGTTATAGGAGATTGTGAGCTGCCTGATGTGGGTGTTGAGAAATAAACTCAGGTCCTCTGGAAGAGCAGAAGGCACTCTAAACTGCTAAGCCACCCCCAACCCCTATATTTTCATTTTGATAAACTGTTTGATCACAATATAGAACTATCTTAGGTAGAAAAATTTTTAAGTTCCTCAGTTTGTTTCATTCACTGGTTTTACTTACAGTTTCAAAGAATGAGGTATCAAGAAGGCATGAAGATTTCGGAGTTGTGCTATAATCACCATGAAGCTTGAACTTTTTGCATCATGTCTGTCAAAAGAGAAGCCAAATGAAACAAACAGTAAGCACAGCCAGTGACCAGGCATTGATTTCCAGAACTGCCACCTGCTCCTACAAACACTGCTTTACCTGAGTCCTATCTGCACCTGGGCAGCCTCCACGATGGTGACATCTTCTTCACTATAGGGAACGTCTTCGATCTCACCAGGCCTAGGGACCAGGAGCAGGTAAACAGTTAATTTATAGAGACACTGATTATTATGGCTGATATTTGCCACTCAATGGTTTTAAAGGAAAACCTGAATTAGGAGTACTTCAATCTCACCCCAGTGGAAGCAGCTGCTTCAGAGGCTTTCTTTTCTTCTTAAGAGTCTACCTCTGAGTTAGGGAACACTTTGTGATGTTTGGCTTTCCTTAGACCTACAAGGCTACCCCACCCTCTTGAGAGCTGTCAAACAGCTATACAAAGCGCTTCATGGGTTGAACAGACATTGGTGAAGCACTCTGTAATTCCCACAAATATCAGTTTCTTAAATCTCTGAGTACACCAGTCTGTTTATCATTTCCACGGCTGGTGGATGTTTTTGGCATGTTGTAATCTTCTGGCATACCATCTCTTCAATGGCTGACGTCCTAAATTATTCTGAAAGGTAAACTAATGAGGGCTTCACCTTTACAATACACAATGCATGAGCCCAGCTAAGAGTCTTGCAGAGGTGCACATAGCATCTCTTGTGGGTTCTTACTGTTTCATGGAGGCTTCATAGACTCCACTGTCTCCAGCCACAGATTCGTCAGATACAGCAGCCGACACACAAGCAACTTTATCCCCAGGCAAATGGATTCCTCTTCTTTTGGGTAATGATTTTTCCATATCTAAGAAGAGGAGAGTGTAACACTCATTACTGGGAAAAGTATAATATATATATACAGTTTAGTTATGAGAAACCCAAAGTACAATTTCCACTTGAAAGTCAAGGACGTTACCAACTTGTATTACCAGATGTGGATGAGACAGGACACTGTGATATATGAGGTTCTAGGGTTCATTACTTGGGAAAACATGTTTTGATTTTTTTTGTTCTAAATTTTAAAATTACACTTATTTGTGTGTATCCACGCACATACTCGTGCCATGGTGTGTGGAGGTCAGAGGACAGCTTGTAGGAGGTGGGTCTCTCCTTCCACCACATGTGTCTCAGGCATAGAACTTAAGTTGACTGGTTTGGAAGCAAACACCTTAACCTGCTGAGCCATCTCACACAGGTCCTTGTCCTAGAATATTAAAAGGCAAGGGATGCACAGATTTGCACTGGTCCTCAGTTTCTTCAAGCATTGACGAACCACTATAACCTTGAGCTAAGAAACTATGTGCTCCCATCAAATACTGGAACTATTCCTACTTGAACAACTAACTAGCCACTCAATAGAAAAGAAATTCTCTGAGTCTCTGCTTCTCTCCACATGCCTTGTTCTTTGTCTCCTGTGCTACTATTCTAACAGAAATTGGAGAAAACATCTTTGACTTACAGGAATCTCACCAGCTAACACCATTAAACCCCCCCCCCACAACTTTTTGTGCTACCGAATCTTTAGCACCAGCTACCACTTAACTTTTATCTCTAACTCATATTCATATACCAGCATCCTGCAGCGAGCAAGGAGCATTCATTTACAGCTGTGCTCTGTACTGTAATAAGCTGCAAGCCTGCGGAGTTTCTTTCATCCTCCAGTGAGTGAGCCAGAGGAGCACTATTGGTATGCATTTCAGCCCCCCTCTGAGTCGTGACTTTACATCTTGTTAAGATGTTTAAGTTTTAAGGCTTCAGATTACAGGATTGATTGGTGCATTTCCCCTTTTATTTCTGGCAGTGGGAATGCTTTTTCCTTGATGATGAAGTGCCTTCTCTCCACCCACCCCCCTTTGTGAGGGGTGAAGGTGATGACATGATTTATTGATTACCCCCAGGAATAACCACAGCAGCCTGAAATTGACTTTGACAATGACAGAGACTGACTGTGGAAAGACTTCATAGTTATTCCAACTTGGTTTCTGTCATCTGAGAAGGATTGGGGCTGAGGAGAAAAACTTATATAAAATGGACTCAGCTTCACCTGCATAAGACCCCAGAACATCAAGGGATAAACAGTGTCCCTCCAAGGGGTCCACCCACCCTTAAAATGCTCCTTGAAAAAGCCAAGCACTGGTGGCCTGAAGATTTAGTGGTTTTATGATTAAAATATATGCTTCTGCTGTTTTCAGACATGAAACTGAAAATTAACTGCAAACAAAGAAAGCCCTCATGTGCATTTTTCCTAGTGACTTTTTGAAGTGCCCAGGGCTTCGCATGTGCTAGCAAGCACTCTACCACCGAGCTATCCCCAGGCCTGGGGTACCTTTTTAACAGCAGTGTAATAACATTTAAGAAATTTAAAATGATTTCACAGAAACTTCCTCCGGGCACCTGTCTCCAGACAGTCATGGACAAACATGGCAGGAGACCCAATGTTAGGGATTAGGCCAACTGCTAAGCCACCATGTTTGGGTGATGGCCCTTGGCCTGAAATTTTTAAACTGCCCCCCTTTCTCCAGCATCTATTCCTATGCTGGTGGGATGTTGGGAAGTGGATCCTCTAAGCTGATAGAATGTTTAGAAGTGCTCACTAGAGAATATTCCAAATATACAAACAGCAAAGTCAGCGGTAGATGCTCAAGAAGGATAAGAACCAGCAAGTCTAAACAGCAAGGAGAATGGTACCCAAATGCTCCACCCCCCCCCACCCCCATTCTCTTGCCTAACTTGTAGTGGTTTGTGGAGGGAATGGGGATAGCAATGTTTCTATTACCTCTCATCATCACACAATGCTAACAATTACTACAATTGAGCGTGCATGCCAGACATGCTTAGATGGCACTAATCCTCTTGCATACTATGAGAATGACTGTGCAGATAAGGAACAAGCCAAGAAACAGGGCAACATGCTCCCTCACCAAAACAGCCAAAGAGGCAAGTGAAATGTGAGAGCAGGCTGGCTCCACTGGCCTCTCCTCACAGGTGCCCTGAAGTCCCGCTGCAGAGCGACTATGGACATCCCTCCCATGCTTGTGTGTGTGTGTGTGTGTGTGTGTGTGTGTGTGTAATAATGTGTGTCACTTTGGCATCTCCCTAAGATGGCACATACAAACCACAGGAAGGCCCCATCAACCCCAGCTCTGCCTCAGGCCACTGTGAGAACACAGCACTTCAGTCTTCAGTGTCAGAAACCAAAAATTCAAGTTGTATTCATCGACGTCTCTAAAGATCTCAACTGGCCAATCAATTAAAACTTAGAATTCCTAGGCCCATATGTACAGATAAAAATGCTTCTTCAAACAGCAAGCCCATAGTGTCCCCTAGAGGAAGTCCTCTGAGAGGTGGAACACACTGCCTGGACAGGACTTCCTCACGGGTGTAGAGATTCATTTCGTACTTCACATTAAGCTAGCTATAAGATGGCTCCTTCTTGGAGCATAAGACATCATTTGACAACAAGGACACCACCTGTTCTTCACAACCATAATGCATATATTAAAAATATCTAGGTGAGCAATACTGCCTGAAATTCTTGTTCCTGACTCTGAGTGCACACGCAGGAGCAAGGACACATTGGGCTGCAGTCTCTTCCTGGGGCTGCAACTGGGAAAGCAGTCAGCAGATGGCACAGCAATGCCGGACACTGGACTCTCCCAACTCCAATTAACTTGGGCAGAAGGGGAGTCTGGCATGAAACAAAAATCATGTTTATATAGAACTCCCTAAGCAATCTAAACATTGAACCTTGGTACTAATTAGCCGATATGCTAATTGACTTGGTTTTAATCTGTTGTAGGCCAATTTTTAAAAAGAAAGTGCTCATCTTTGCCTTGCTATTTTCAAACAAGAATCCATGTGGAAGTGTGGAGTGCTCACAAAATACATTCCAGGCAACTACCACACACAGAGGATCTCTAGACTACAGAAGAGGTACTAATGTGATGCAATCTCTTAAATAGGAAGGCAATATTTTTGCATATGTGCATGTACATGTTTGTGTGTGCACAGGTACCTGTGAATGTATGCGCAAATATGTATAGGTCAGTAGTCAACATTTGGTGTTCTCCTCAGTTGCTCTCCACCTTATGTTTTGAGACAGGGTCTCTCACTGAACCCGGAGGTCAATGGGTTCTGTTATGCTGGTTGACCAGGAAGCCCTAGGGAGCTCCCAGCTCTGCTTCCCAGCACTGGGATTACAGGTGTGAAATGACACACTTGGTTTTTACATGGGTGATGGGGATCTGAATTTAGGTCCTCATGCTTGCACACCAAGCACTTTAGAGACTGAGTTATCAACTCCCCTAGGCCCCTATTTCTATTTTGTGGTAATGGGGATTGAATTCAGGGCTTTGCACACACTAGGCAAGCTGTCTACCACTGAGCTATAACCCTGTCCAGGATGCAATTTTTTTTTTTTTTTTTTTTTTTTTTTTTTTGTCTTTTTGAGACAGGGTCTCCCTGTAGCCCCAGCTGTCCTGGAACTCACTATGTAGACCAGGCTGGCCTTGAACTCACAGAGATCCACCTGCCTCTGCCTCCCAAGTACTGGGATTAAAGGCATGTGCCACCATGCCCAGCACAATTTTTATTTGATAAAGAAAGAAGTTAGGTATAGGAATAAATATCCTTGAATGAAGCGAAAATGAATACTTTGGAGAAAGAGAAAACTACCTCTTTCTGGAAAAGAGAAACCTAATCCATTTTAAAATGGTTCTGGTACATAAAAATTGCATTTACCTGTTGTTCCTTCATATAATGGCTCCCTAGCACATTCGTTAAGGTCTTTATCCTCTAAGAGAGATTGGGAAGCTCCTCCTGAATCTGAATCCAGCAAGATCTGATTTTCACCATGTCCAAGGTCAGCAAAATGGCTACTCAACTCACAGTCTTCAAAGTCAGCAGTGAACTGGTGGAGAGAGGTGTCATGAGAAGACACAGGAAATGTGCTGTCCAAGACCAAAGGAGAGCCAGGAGGAGATAAAGAGGAAAGGGAGGACCTAGACGAGAGGGATGTCACAGACTTGGAGGCCTCAGTCAGTGGGGGTGTGTGGCCGGTCACTACAGTTGCCACCCCACAGAGTCCACTCTGGCCAGGTTGGCTTGGAGACTTGACCACTTCATTTTCATGGATGGTGGTGATGGGTCCGGAAGGAATGTAGCCACCCTTCTCTTGCAGAAGGAAGTCCAGTTTATACTGATAATCCACATCTATCTGATCACTCTGACTGCTGTAGTAGAGTTCACTGGAACTGAGGGAGTTCAGTGACCCTCTGCTAGAGGTGTTCAGAGAACCCCGACTGGATGCCAGGGACCCCAGGCTGCTCCCAGACGACATGGATAGCGTGCTAGAGGACAAGCTGAGAGAAGAAAAGCACACTTTAAAATCTGCTGTTACACAGGATGCCCAACCACAATCCCTACTGGTTCCTTCAGACCCGGAAAGGGAAGGGAAACCGTGATGCCCAAGACTTGAATCCAGAACACAGGCAGAGGAACTTGCTGTTGAAACAGATTTCTCTGCTCATCTATTAATATCATCAACCTTGTTCTCCATATACTCCTTAATAATTCTTGTCTTATTAAAAATTACATGCTAGGGCTGGAGAGATGGCTCAGCAGTTAAGAGCACTGGCTGCTCTTGCAGAGGACCCAGGTTTGAGTCCCAGCACCCACATGGCAGCTAACGATCATCGGTAACTCGAGTTCCAGGGGAATCTGATGCCTTCCTCTGACCTCTGTGGGCACTGCACGACACAGGGGAACATATACATGCAAGCAATACACTCATTACACATAAAATAAAAATAAAAAATATTTTTTTAAATCATAAGCTTTTTGTAGTCAAGTATGGTGGCACATGCCTTTAATTCCAGCACTCAGGAGGCAGAGGCTGGCAGATCTCTGTGAGATCAAGGCCAGCCTGATCTACATAGTGAGTTTCAGGTAGGAAGATCCTGTCTCAAAAAGACCAAAAAAAAAAAAAAAAAAAGTCTTCAAACAAAAAATGTAAATCAAAGGCCTGTCTGTAAGTCAACTTGTACACCTATCCAAAAGCAATTTTAGATTTTAAAAATACTGAAAAAAAGGAATGGCTTATACAAAGAGTTAATGTATCTACTCCAGTTAAAAATATTTCTAGAGGGGGAAAAAAGAGGCACTCATAAAAGCTAAGAGACTACACACAAGACCCCTGAGCACCCTCACTATTTCTCTTCTCTTTGTGTGATTATAGGACTGAATATTTTTCTAATCAATAAAAGAAAATTTATGGCCAAACATTTTAAAGTAACTCTCTTCTATCTCCCTTTGCAAAAGATGGGATAATGATAGAAATGTGCTATTTTCTCGTTTTCATTGATAGCTAAAATATAACTTCTTTCTATAAAATATTTCAAATGCATTCTAAATATGACCAAGGAGTTTATAAAAAGAAAAGGAATTTACGTGACTTTAAATTTTGTAATTCAAATATTAATTGTACTGATATAACTAATTTATTTACTTTTAAGTAGCTGAAAAATTACCAAAGAGGGCCCAGAACATCCCTGGATGCTATGAAAACATATTTTCCCCAAAACATCTATCAAGTTTACCTTTTAAGTTGTGAATGCAAATATGTAGTTAATTTAGTAGTTTCTTCAAGTTTCTGTAGCAACTCTTTTCTTCTCTCTTCCAATTTCAATCTAGAAAAAAAAAAAAAAAAGAGCTTTCAAATGATTACAATGAAACTAGAAGTAAACAAAAGAAAGATTCAGTTTCCCCCAGAGAGGTAAATTTGAGAGGCAACAGGACAACCAGCAAGAGACATGAGCCCAGTTTTCACAGCCATGATAAGTGGAAAGGGAGGTCTATGCCCAGTCCCCAAAGCCATGAGAACATCAAAGTGTTGGCAGTGTAAAATTTTCTTGAGTGCATTGAAGTAAGGTGTAGCCCTAGACAGAGAAGAATTGTGAGGAGGAAAGAGCTGCAGCAGTAACAGCAAAAGTCTACCCAAAGACCCAGTGTCCTCGTACAGGACTGAAGGCTGGCTTCACGTTAGGAAAACACTAGACGGTAAGGATAAAGAAGCACAGACAGTCATCATCGTAAGTACTGGATTTTGCAAGGACTGTTGTGAAATAATGCTTGATGAAGAAACCTCTAATCCTCATTTCTTGAGAATTTTTATAATGAAGCAAGATTGGTCTACACTGCTGCTATGGGCTAATTTGGGCTTAACTATTTCAGCAAGAAGAGCTAAGTGATTTGCTTTCCTAGTTCCATCCTGTCTCATCATCTGCCCCAGATTATCATAGAATTAGAGTATTGTGGGACTGAATCTTGAAAGGAAACAGATCAAGCATCCAAAGTGTAACTTAGTGTCTGCACAAGTAGTATCATTCAAATAAGGCAGTGGTGTAGTTAAATGGGCTACATGTGGGCACCTCAGTTCCCAGTCTTGGATTTGCTGTTTACGAGCTGTGTATCCTTTGGCAAGTCATAAATCCAGGGTCTCACCTTTCTCATCTATAAATGGTGATTATAATCCTCCTGTGTCTACCTGATAAGGCAGTTAAAGGGATCAAATGGAGTAATGTGTGTGAAAGTGCTCTACATCTTGCATGCCCTGCAAGATGGTGATATAAAAATTAGTGACTTTGGTTTGAAGAAAGGGAAAATTTCCCTTATTTCCAACCTCTTTGAAATTTTATGCATGTCTTGGGTAGTAAGGAAATGTACTCATTTATTTATAGGTATCTATCCCTTTGATGTGTCAACAACAAAATTTCCATTATACATTAAAATTAAAAAGTAATTCTTGCCATTTTCTTTAATACTTCAAGGCATGATAAATTCTTTCATAACTTTCATAAGTATATTTTTAAAAAGAGCAGTCTGTTTTTTAAATCTCTCAAACAAAAACTTAATAAGGAAAAATTAATGTAAAGATTAACTGAATTAGAAGGTAGTCTGGAGATAGCCCAAACACTATTAAAATTTATGTCTCTGGCAACAGGAAAAATACTTTAGAAATAGGTCTTAAAACTAAATATCACTTTTATTAACACAAAGACATTTCCTTATGTTCTAAGGAGGCTCCATATGACATGTCTGTTCTAAAGGCTGTGCCAGCCCCCTACTGGTTCTTGCTC